CAAATAATGCACTGATCTGGGACGAGAGTAACCCAAGGCCAGAGAATGCTCACCTGAATGTGGCGTGACTTTGGCCGCACATTTCTCGCATTGCTATTGTCTTCTAGCAGTGTTCCTTCTTTCGTTTGGCTAGTTAATCTTGTTTGTATCGTGGTTCGGCCTCTGCTGCTTCTGCGCTCCATCCCGACAACAGCTCGCACAATCTAACATAGCCTGTACAATGGACACAATGAAACACATGTCACAGCATGTCCATGCCAAGGATTTTGCATGTGGTTTGCGGACCTTGACTGCCGTAGCGGCCTGCAGAAACATGTCTTTTTTCCATTTGCTGACTTTTGCATTTTGCATTTACTGGCTTTTGCATTGGCTACGGATTCAGGGGTTGCGATTTAGGGTTTAGGAAGTTTAGGGTNNTTTAGGGTCTAGGGTTTACGGGTTTAGGGTTTAGGGTTTAGGGCTTAGGGTTTAGGGTTTAGGGTCCAGGGTGTGGCCCGAGAACCAACACTCCGAAGTGCCTCGTTCCCTGGGGCCGTGCTCCAACAGGAAGTGCAGATGCCGGGACACTTTAGGGGCTTACTTTTTAGGGTTAGGGTTTAGGGTTTAGGGTTTAGGATTCCTTCAGGGGTTCCTTAAATGGTTCTAGAAGCGGTCTATCGGGATTTGGGGGGTTTCGGGTCTACTTAGAGGATCATGGGACTTACTAAGTAAGGCTACAAGTACCCTAATTGGGGTTAGAAGTAAGTACAAGCATAACTACCTTCTTTATAACCCTAGTTACTAAGTCCCATGATCCTTCAGGTGGAAAGAACACCTCCTGGTGGCCCCGGCCCGGAAGCGGCTCAAATCCTCGTCCGAAAGCAGCCCACAGAGAGATACTAACACAGTTTACAAGACCTTCTCGTGCTCCTTCCGGCCTCCAGCTTTTTCCTAAACCCTAAACCCTAAACCCTAAACCCTAAACCCCTAAACCCTAAACCCTAAACCCTCGATTCTTGGACCAGCTTTTTGCATCACTCGAGAGAGAAGTCGTGATGGCACCGACAGCTCGTCGGAGGGCTCCTGGCAGGAGGGGGGCTGCTGATCCGATTTCGGGAGTCTCAGTTCTTCCAAAATTTCGTTTTTTTTAGGGTTTAGGTTTTTTTTGAACTCCTTGGGCTTAGGGTTTAGGGTTTAGGGTTTAGGGTTTAGGGTTTGGGGTTTAGGGTTTAGGGTTTAGGTAAACAAGAGATGTACCCTAAACTGTAGCAGGGTTCCTGATATAATTTAAGGTAGATTCCTCCATTATAGGGGATCTTGGAAAGATCGGGATTCTTTCCAAAGACGAAAGCAGAAATCAGTGAAGACCTTCAGCGTGCACCCCGAACTTAAGACCAAGCACACACCTTGAATGGCATAACGGATGCCACTGCCGCTATTTCCTTGTGATCTTCAGGCTCTTCGTGCCACCCGATCCTACCCTAAACCGTGACCCTACCAAAGCCCACCTCAGAACTTGCAAGCAGCCAAGACCTCTCTTGAATCGCATGGGGTTTTGGGCTTGGGGTTTAGGCTTTGGGTTTTGGGGTTTGGGGCCGAAGGGCTTTTAGGGTCTAGGGTTAAAGGTTAAGGATCAGGAGTCAAGCTCAGACCTAACCGCTGATCAACCACAAACAAACCCCGCTTCGAGGATACCAATAAACATGGCTTTGTTCAACCCGTCTGAAAGTTGCAAGCGGTTAGTGGTAAACATTCAGATTTTCAGCTCGCTGTGCATTGGTGTGATAAAACACCTCTGTGTCTGTGACCGTGCGAGTGTCATCGTGCCAAAACACGTGAGCGGAAGAGACGGTCAACAAAATTGATGTTGAGATACCAGGTAGTGTACAGCCGAGTTTGAAAAGTTGGACATTGCTCTCTCAGAGATGTGTCCTCACACAATGCCTACCCTAAACCCTAAACCCCAAACCCTAAACCGTGGGGGCAGAGGCTGCGTGGCTTATGGCGGCAAGGCCTTTGGCATCGCCGCCAACTTTTTGCTTGAAAAATCGATGCCACACTTCTCACGAAGAAAGACTTGCCAGGGCCTTCGTCTGGAGCCTTCTTTGGGTTCCGGGTCGAGGGTTCAGGGTTGCTGCGTCCCACCATTCAGTGACTACGGTAGCACTCGACCAGCATATAACAACGCACACGTCGCATGCCATGAGGGTGCGTAACATGACTCAGTGACCACGGTACCACTCGATCGCGACGTGACATTAAACACTTTACCACAAACAGAACAAACCTTCTACACATTCTGATTGGGCTCATTCAGTGGGCTTCATATACGGCGGCATCGCCACTGGTGCACCGACGATTCCCGGCGGAGGCTGGGGGTAGTCCGATGGTGGAACAGCGCCAACAATTCCCGGCGGAAGCTGGGGGTGGGCCGCAGGAGACGCAGCGTAGTAGGGGTGGGCCTCTGGAGACGAAGCGTAGTGGGGCCGTGAGGCCGCGTAGCCGGCAGATGCTCTACCGCTCAGCATCATTCCTAGGTGATTGTTGGATCGGGTTGGTGGGAAGGGGCTCTAATTTTCCGGCAAGGCAATCTTTAATCATGGCCTAGATGCTGCGCTTCTCGATGGCCAAATAGATGCCAACGGCTGCGAGGACAAGTAGGACGAAGCGCAGGAAACGAAGCCATCGAATGCTGAGGAAGAACTCCATTTGGTCTGAGATATTCCCCACCCGGGTGATGCCTTGATCTGGGCGACCCTGGCCCGTACCACTGCATCGGGCGACGCTGCCACACCATCCAGCCTTGGACATGCGTGAGACGGGGGTGTTTGGGGGCATTCGAAGAACCGGAATCCTGGACCAATGCTGACCCAGCAGCAAAAACACAATGAAGAAAGGCCAATCTGCCATCGCCGGATTGCCTGGGCCATGGTGGAGGTAAGAATGTATCCGACTCTAATCTCCACTGACAGCAGAATGCTTGACTTTGTTGTTCGGGTGGCTGTTGGTGGTCATGGTAGTTTGATGCTGCCGTCACCGTCATCATCGTCGTCGCGAGTTAGCAACTCTATCGGACACATGCTTTGTTGTTCAGACGCCTAAACCCTAAACCCTAAACCCTAAACCCTAAACCCTAAACCTTAAACCTTATGTTTCGGAAGCATCTCCAGAAAAGAAGGGCCACCGATGGAGTGCTGAAAATTTCTTTCCCCATCTTTTCAAGCCTCCTTCCGGGTCTTTTTGTGGTGTACAAGACTTGAAGTGAGCCTTTTTTTGTGATTTCTGCCCCCCCCCCCCTCTAGCAGCCGCGGACACCCCCAAAATCAACCCAAAACACCCCAAAAGAAGACACAGTCCAAGAGTCCAAGCTCGCGCGCCTTCCGGGGTCAAGATATATGGCCCAATGCCGACACCAATGACATGTCCACTCACAAGTGTGTGCTGCTACTCTGCCTGCTGCTATTATGGCTCAAGCGGTTCCACGACACTACGGTACAGCAGCAGCTGCCTGCGTGCTTGCAACCCTTTACATTGACTTGTAAACCCTGGGAATAGGTCAGTTTCTTGCAGCGGAGCCCTTGTGGGCTCCGGCCTGCAAGCTGAGCAGGGCCGCAGTCTAGGCGTGACCTGTGAGTTTTCTCTGACCGCAACAACTCTTTCGGAGACTTCTCGTTCTCCAATGACGACAATTCGACAGGACCAGCTGCGCACGTCACGCACAATTCGGCACACATATCATACGGGTAGCTTTCTAAAATTAGAGTTCCTTTTCCAGTTCTTTCTATAACAGTGCCGTGCTATATTTGGAATCTAAGCAGGACCGTAAAAGAACTACCCATCTCTCTCTGTGGCAGGTGTTGTCAACTCCCACTCTGTGATAGCTACAGGCCTTGTTTGAAGACCTAGGTCAGAATTCGGTACTTTTGAACACTTACGATTCACGGGCCTACGGCCCGCTGCTCGCAGGATCGGAGGGGCTCTAAACTCTTTGCAAAACGGGATTTGGAAGTGCTTTAGGGGGGCGCGTACCTATCAGCAGCCCACGAGCTGCTTGCGAGCTACTTGCCGGCAGCCTGCTCAACTCCAGAACTGCCGGCCCAACAGCACAACAGCTCAAAAAGCTGCCGGCCCAACGGCTCAGAAAGCTGCCTGCCCAACAGCTCAAGGGCTGCCCGCCCAACAGCTCCTCCCGCCAACAGCGCGCGCAAGCGCGCGGCGCTCCCAAACTGCTCCGGAGCGCAGCGTAGCGCTCTAAAATGGCTCGCGAGCGCCGCGCGCGTCCTCAAAGT